ACTATCTCTACCCCTCCAATAACCATCCTCCCCCTCCCCCACAACCATCCATCCCCTCTCCTAACCATCTATTCCCCTCCCCCTAACCAGGATGAGGACAAGGGGTTCCAAGGACGAATCTGAGAGGGAGAATGGGAGATAGAGCTCAAAAAAAGGGAGGAAGACTGGGGAAGGAGACTAGATGAGCTGGAAAGGAAGATGGAAGAGAGGTTAGCAGCAGAATGCAGAAGGTGGAAGCAACAGGCCACAGAAGCAGAAATCAAGATAGAGAGATTAGAAGAGGAGCTGAGACATCTGAAACAGCACAGAGACAAAGATATTACAGAAGTAGCATCGGCAATGGCTAAATTAAAACACAGACAACAGGTCTGAAGGAAGCATAGAAACTAAACTATATGCAGAGGTCCTGTCAAACCCACATGGGGCCAAAACAAAGACAGGGAGCACACTAGGACAGAAAGAGAGGTTGGAAGACATCGAAGGAACTAGGACATGTGCAAGGACCTTACCAGATACCTGTGTGGGCCAGAGCAGGTGAGCAGGAAGGATAAACCAAGAAGCACAGGGCCATAACTAGGGAAGGGACTGAAGGAAGGAACACTCCACGGGAAGGAACTAAAACACATCAGAGGATGCAATGGAGTCACAGTGGGAGGTGGAAAGGGAGAGATCCGTGTTTGTCTATGGGCTAGACGAAGCTAAAGGGGAAACTTATGATGAAAGAAAGCAGGAGGAGAAAAAGCGATTGAAGACATCATGAAGGTGATAGGCGAGGGGACATGACCCAGGTGGCAAATTTTCGGAGAATTGGGTGGTTCACAAAGAAAAGGAATCGGCCCTCTCAAAGTAATTTTCAAGGCAGAATCAACCCGAACCATGATCCTGCAGGAGAAAGCACGGCTGAGAGGCAAGCAGGAGTTCCGGAGTGTGTACCTCGACCGAGACAGAACACAGGACGAAAGGAAGACAATGAAAGAGAGAGTTCAAAAACGAAAGGAGAAATGGGAGGAAATGAAAAAGGAGAGCAGAATGACCCAGGATCAAATGGAAGGACAAGCGCACCCCCCAGAAACACCTGCAGAAGGACCCCAGCCACGACACCCCCAAGGCAACTGAACAATCCAAACCAACCATCACACACCGATCCCTCTGTTTCCACCCCCCCGCACCACAGTTACAGTATTAGAACAGAAGTTGAAGGTTTGGTACACAAATGCAGATGGATTAACGAATAAACATGAGGAATGGCAAGAAAGAATCAAAGAGAAGTCCCCAGACATCATAGCAGTTACAGAAACAAAACTCATGGAGACAATAACAGATGCAATCTTCCCACCAGGATACCAGATCATGAGGAAAGATAGAAGGGGCAGGGGGGGAGGTGGGGTTGCTCTGCTCGTAAAAAACAGATGGAAATTCGAGAAAATGGAAGGAATAGATGAGACGGGAGAAAGAGACTACATAGCAGGTACACTTCAGTCTGGGGAACACAAAGTGGTCATTGCAGTGATGTATAATCCACCACAGAACTGCAGGAGGCCAAGAGAGGAATATGAAAAGAGCAACAGAGCAATGGTGGACACACTTGCTGAGGTGGCAAGAAGAGCTCACTCCAGCAGAGCAAAGTTGCTGGTTATGGGGGATTTCAACCACAGGGAGATTGACTGGGAAAACCTGGAGCCACATGGGGGTCCCGAAACATGGAGAGCCAGGATGTTGGACGTGGTGCTGGAAAACCTCATGCACCAACATGTTAAGGACACTACCAGAGTGAGAGGGGAGGATGAACCAGCAAGATTGGACCTTGTGTTCACCCTGGGCAGCTCAGACATTGAGGACATCAAGTATGAGAGTCCCCTAGGAGCTAGCGACCACGTGGTTCTGTGCTTTGATACATAGTAGAGCTGCAAGTGGAGAGAATAACAGGAGTAGAATGGGAAAAGCCTGACTATAAAAGAGGGACTACATAGGGTTGAAGAACTTCCTGCGGGAGGTCCAGTGGGACAGAGAACTGGCAAGTAAAGCCAGTAAATGAAATGATGGAATATGTAGCAACAAAATGCAAGGAGGCAGTGGAAAGGTTCATTCCCAAGGGCAACAGTAACAACGGGAAGACCAGAACAAGCCCCTGGTTCACCCGACGGTGTAAGGAGGCAAAAACAAAGTGCAATAGAGAATGGAAAAAGTACAGAAGGCAGAGAACACACGAAAATAGGGAGATCAGTCGCAGAGCCAGGAATGAGTACGCACAGGTAAGGAGGGAGGCCCAGCGACAGTATGAAAATGACATAGCATCGAGAATCAAGACAGACCCGAAACTGTTGTATAGCCACATCAGGAGGAAGACAACAGTCCAAAGACCAGGTGATCAGATTAAGGACAGAAGGTGTGAGAACTCACAAGAAATGATCAGGAGGTATGTGAGGAGCTGAACAGGAGATTTAAGGAAGTTTTACAGTAGAGACAGGAAGGGCTGTGGAAGACAGAACAGAAGGGAACATCAAGAGGGAATATACCAACAAGTGATTGGATGACATACGAACAACTGAGGAGGTGAAGAAGCTCTTAAGTGACCTTGACACCTCAAAGGCGATGGGACCGGACAACATCTCCCCATGGGTCCTTAGAGAAGGAGCAGAGATGCTGTGTGCCCTAAACCACAATCTTCAACACATCCCTTGAAACTGGGCAACTACCTGAGAAATGGAAGACAGCTAATGTAGTCCCCATATTTAAGAAAGGAAACAGAAACGAGGCACTAAACTACAGACCTGTGTCTCTGACATGTATTGTGTGCAAAGTCATGGAGAAGATTATCAGGAGAGAGTGGTCGAAACACCTGGAAAGGAACAAGATATAAATGAAAACACCATGCATGGGTTCATGGAAGGCAAATCTTGTATCACAAACCTCCTGGAGTTTTTTGACAAGGTAACAGAAGTAAGACATGGAGAGAGAGGGTTGGGTAGATTGCGTTTTCCTAGACTGCAGGAAGGCCTTTGACACAGTTCCCACAAGAGATTAGTGCAGAAGCTGGAGGATCAGGCACACGTAAAAGGAAGGGCACTGCAATGGATAAGGGAATACCTGACAGGGAGGCAGCAACGAGTCATGGTACGTGAAGAGGTATCACAGTGGGCGCCTGTTACGAGCGGGTCCCACAGGGGTCAGTTCTAGGACCAGTGCTATTTTTGATATATGTGAACGACATTATGGAAGGAATAGACTCTGAAGTGTCCCTGTTCGCAGATGACGTGAAGTTGATGAGAAGAATTAAATCGGACGAGGATGAGGCAGGACTGCAAAGAGACCTGGAGAGGCTGGACATGTGGTCCAGTAACTGGCTTCTCGAATTCAATCCAGCCAAATGCAAAGTCATGAAGATTGGGAGGGGCAAAGAAGACCGCAGACAGAGTATAGGCTAGGTGGACAAAGACTACAGACCTCACTCAGGGAGAAAGACCTTGGGGTGACCATAACACCGAGCACATCACCGGAGGCACACATCAACCAAATAACCGCTGCAGCATACGGGCGCCTGGCAAACCTGAGAATAGCGTTCCGATACCTTAATAAGGAATCGTTCAAGACACTGTACACTGTGTATGTTAGGCCCATACTGGAGTATGCAGCGCCAGTCTGGAACCCACACCTGGTCAAGCACGTCAAGAAGTTAGAGAAAGTACAAAGGTTTGCAACAAGGCTAGTCCCAGAGCTCAAGGGAATGTCGTACGAGGAAAGGTTAAGGGAAATCGGACTGACGACACTGGAGGACAGAAGGGTCAGGGGAGACATGATAACGACATACAAGATACTGCGGGGAATAGACAAGGTGGACAGAGATAGGATGTTCCAGAGAGGGGACACAGGGACAAGGGGTCACAACTGGAAGCTGAAGACTCAGACGAGTCACAGGGACGTTAGGAAGTATTTCTTCAGTCATAGAGTTGTCAGCAAGTGGAATAGCCTAGCAAGTGAAGTAGTGGAGGCAGGAACCATACATAGTTTTAAGAAGAGGTATGACAAAGCTCAGGAAGCAGAGAGAGAGAGGATCCAGTAGCGATCAGTGAAGAGGCGGGGCCAGGAGCTGAGTCTCGACCCCTGCAACCACAATTAGGTGAGTACAATTAGGTGAGTACACACACACACACACACACACACACACACGCACGCACACACACACACACACACGCACGCACACACACACACACACACACACACACACACACACATACACACACAGGATTCACAGTCTGGTTGATCTGGTATTCTTAGAAGGTCAGTTGTCCAGTTTCCTACATACAAAGGTCTACTTCCACAATAATGAAGACAGTACAAGTACCTTTGATGAGTTTCCAGAGTCTCTCTACTCCCAGAGCCCGGCCGTGGGCCAGGCTCGTCAGAGAATGCTTTACTGATCCAGCTCAACAGAGTTTAACGTGACCATAATAAAAGGCCTTGTTATAAACTTGCTTTATATCATTTTTTCTGAAAAAATTATACTTAGTGCCAAGATGTGGACAGTGCCACCATAACAGTTAGCTAGAAGTTGTATAACCCCGTGTTATGTTACATTAGGATAACTCCATGTTATATAACTCGATGGTGTATAACCTATCATAACTCGATGGTGTATAACCTATCATAACTCGATGGTGTATAACCTATTATAACTCGATGGTTTATAACCTATTATAACTCGATGGTTTATAACCTATTATAACTCGATGGTTTATAACCTATTATAACTCGATGGTTTATAACCTATTATAACTCGATGGTTTATAACCTATTATAACTCGATGGTTTATAACCTATTATAACTCGATGGTTTATAACCTATTATAACTCGATGGTTTATAACCTATTATAACTCGATGGTTTATAACCTATTATAACTCGATGGTTTATAACCTATTATAACTCGATGGTTTATAACCTATTATAACTCGATGGTTTATAACCTATTATAACTCGATGGTTTATAACCTATTATAACTCGATGGTGTAAAATTACTCAAGACGAGAGTACTTACCGCGTGCTAACATTCTCTTGGTAAGCGATTCTGGATGCCCAGTTCGAATCCCGTTACTGTACTGCTGTCAGTCACTGTGCTGCTACCTCTCACTCACCTGTAAAGAAGAGTTAGCACTGTGTGAGTTAAATAAATTAGCCAGGCGGCTGTGAAAGCAGAATAAACAGACATGTATTTACTGTAGTGGTCCTTGGGATTATCTTCCCCACAGTCGGGTCTGGGACCAGGCTTCCTAGGCTGGAGACCAAACATTATAAGATGAAGAACTATTAAGAAGCACGTGAATTAAAATGTATAAAATTAACATAAGTTTAAGTTTGTAAGATCTGCCTGTCATTTTTTTACGTATTCTTAAGACAGAAAGAAAAGCTCAGCAATACTGCCAGTTTAAGTTTCCCGAACATTTTCCAGCTCAGCAATTGCTTACCTTGACGGGTGTATACCTGGAGTATACCTGGAGAGGGTTTCGGGGGTCAACGCCCCCGCGGCTCGGTCTGTGACCAGATAGTTGGTATTCACCAGTATTCCAGTCTGGGGAGAGCAAGTGATATAAAGAGTATCATTAATGGCTTAGTATGTTTTGTCTTGAAAGTTCAAGTTATCCGGCCTGTCATTTTCTCTGTGGTAGCAACGATAACATTGATATGACCCTTGAATGTGAGATCTTTTGACATTGTTACTCCTAAGTCTCGCACATGGTACTATCCAATTTCCTCTTGAATACTTCTACATTTGTTCCGGCAGTGTTTCTAATACATTCTTGCAGTGTTAAACAGTCTGTGGCCACGGCTATTGATACAATGTTCTCTTATGTTCACAGCTCCCCTATTTTTGCTGACTTCACATTTTCTTTCATATCTCTAACTCCAAAAACCCCTAAAGTATCTTCCACACATATATTATCATGTATCTCTATTTCCTCTGCTCCAGAGAGTGCATATCCAGGACTCTGAGGAATTCCAAGTAATTTAAATGTTTTATTGGCTCTATGCTGGCCGTAAATGATCTCTGTCTTTGTTCCAGCTCTGATATCTCTCCTGCCCTGAACGGGGCCGTCAACACTGAACAATAACCTAAGCAAGAGAGCGCAAGTGATTTGAAAAGTGTCACCACTGGTGCTGTTTCCCTTGTTCTGAAAGAGAACAAAGGCACTTCAGATGGGTGAACAAAAGTGCTTAAGGTGAGTGCTGATTAGCACTCACAAGTGAAATGGTATGTTAGTCAGGTACTCTCAAGACACTGATAGGTAAACAAAGGTGCTTCAGGCGGGTGAACAAATATGCATCAGGCGGGTGAACAAAGGTGCTTCAGGCAGTTGAACAAAGGTGCTTCAGGCGGGTGAACAAAGGGGCTTCAGACGGGTGAACAAAGGTGCTTCAGGAAAATGAACAAAGGTGCTTCCGACGGGTGAACAAAGGCATTTCAGACGGGTGAACAAAGGTGCTTCAGACGGGTGAACAAAGGTGCTTCAGGCGTGTGCAAAATAGCAGTCAGCGCTGAGCAATTTACCGCCAGCCCGCGCCACCATTTCCGCCGCTAGTACACTCACCCCCTTCCTTTCCACCCTTCCACTTAACAACCTCTCCCCCCTACATCCCCCTCCCTTCTAAACCTCCCTCCCTGTACGTTCCACGTTCACGCCCGGTTCACAGCCAGTTTACCTAAGTTCACTCTCGGCTCACTCCACCTTACCTGCCTGACACTCCTCTCTCCTCCTCCAATCACCTACAACCATCCTACTTCAGTCCTCTCTCCTTCTCCAATCACCTACAACCATCTTACCTCACAAGTCTCTCACTGCCAATCACCTACAACCATCCTACTTCAGTCCTCTCTCCTTCTCCAATCACCTACAACCATCTTACTTCACAAGTCTCTCACTGCCAATCACCTACAACCATCCTACTTCAGTCCTCTCTCCTTCTCCAATCACCTACAACCATCTTACCTCACAAGTCTCTCACTGCCAATCACCTACAACCATCCTACTTCCTAAGTCGTTCATCATAAATCTTTTTCGGCCGATGGAGATACATTAAAATCTAATATGCAAAACTCTAGATGGATTAGTCCCAAAGCTCTACACTCCAGGTGTAGAAAGCCTTCGAAACCCATCAAAGGTATACCAAAGGTATATATATCTCAAGTTAGTCTACATGAAAGCAAGAGAGGCTTGGCAGGCAGTAAAAATCCCTCTCGTGACAAGCACTGGCTTCACGAGTAAGGAGAATGACTAAGCCTTAAATCCCTGGCTGTCCGTGAGTAGGTAAGTACCTCAAGCCCGGTCCCGATTACCTTTGATATACCTTTGAAGAGTTTCGAGAGTTTATCTACTCCCTGAGCCCGGCCATGGGCCAGGCTCGTCTGGTGCTTGCCTGGTCAACCAGGCTATTGCTGCTGGAGGCCCAACAGCCTGTTACGGACACCAATAGCCTGGTCTGAGACCGAGGCGCGGGGGCAGTGACCCCCCGATATTAACTTCAGGTATGCTCCTGGTACTGAATTACGAAGTAAGTTATAAGACAATGGCCGAAACAATTCAGCAAAACCCTTACTTAAGAAAGGGCACTTATGACGACGTTTCGCTCCGTCCTGGATCAATATGGCCTGACAATGAATGGTCCAGGACAGAGCGAAACATAATCGAAAGGCTCCTCTACAACTGTCATACATATATGTGTAAATTACCCACCAGTCAAAGTGACTTATTTCTACTGGGGTCTTTAGTTTCCACTGGGGTCTTCAGTTTCCACTGGGGTCTTTAGTTTCCACTGGGGTCTTTAATTTCCACTGGGGTCTTTAGTTTCCACTGGGGTCTTTAGTTTTCACTGGGGTCTTTAGTTTCCACTGGGGTCCTTTGTTTTCACTGGGGTCTTTAGTTTCCACTGGGGTCATTTGTTTCCACTGGGGTCTTTAGTTTCCATTGGGGTCCTTTGTTTCCACTGGGGTTTTTAGTTTCCACCGGGGTCTTTAGTTTCCACTGGGGTCCTTTGTTTCAATTGGGATCTTTAGTTTCCAATGGGGTCCATAGTTTCCACTGGGGTCTTTAGTTTCCACTGGGGTCCTTTGTTTCCACTGGAGTCTTTAGTTTCCACTGGGGTCCTTTGTTTCCACTGGGGTCTTTAGCTTCCACTGGGGTCCTTTGTTTCCACTGGGGTACATAGTTCCCATTGGGGTCTTTAGTTTCCACTGGGGTCCTTTGTTTCCACTGGGGTCTTTAGTTTCCACCGGGGTCTTTAGTTTCCACTGGGGTCCTTTGTTTAAATTGGGGTCTTTAGTTTCCAATGGGGGTCCTTTGTTTCCACTGGGGTCTTTAGTTTCCACTGGGGTCTTTAGTTTCCACTGGGGTCATTTGTTTCCACTGGGGTCTTTAGATTCCACTGGGGTCTTTGGTTTCCACTGGGGTCCATAGTTTCCACTGGGGTCTTTAGTTTCCACTGGGGTCCTTTGTTTCCACTAGGGTACTTTGCTTCCACTGGGGTCTTTAGTTTCCACTAGAGTCTTTAGCTTCCACTGGGGTCTTTAGTTTCCACTGGAGTCTTTAGCTTCCACTGGGCTCCTTTGTTTCCACTGCGCTCCTCTGTTTCCACTGGGGTCTTTAGTTTCTACTGGGGTCCTTTGTTTCCACTGGGGTCCTTTGTTTCCACTGGGGACTTTAGTTTACACTGGGGTCCTTTGTTTCCACTAGGGTCCTTTGCTTCTACTGGGGTCTTTAGTTTCCACTGGGGTCCTTCGTTCCCACTGGGGTCCTTTGTTTCCACTTGGGTCCTTTGTTTCCACTGGGGTTCTTTGTTTCTGCTGGGGACCTTTGCTTCCACTGGGGTCTTCAGTTTCCACTGGGGACCTTTCTTTCCACTGGGGTCTTTAATTTCCACCGGGGTCCTTTGTTTCCACTGGGGATCTTTGTTTCCAATGGGGACCTTTGTTTCCACTGGGGACCTTTGTTTATACTGGGGTCTTTAGTTTCCACCGGGGTCCTTTGTTTCCACTGGGGACCTTTGTTTCCAATGGGGATCTTTGTTTCCACTGGGGACCTTTATTTCCAATGGGGACCTTTGTTTCCACTGGGGTCCTTTGTTTACACTGGGGTCCTTTGTTTCCACTGGGGACCTATGTTTCCACTGGGATCTTTAGTTTCCACCGGGGTCCTTTGTTTCCACTGGGATCTTTAGTTTCCACCGGGGTCCTTTGTTTCCACTGGGATCTTTAGTTTCCACCGGGGTCCTTTGTTTCCACTGGGGACCTTTGTTTCCAAGGGGGACCTTTGTTTCCACTGGGGACCTTCGTTTCCAATGGGGACCTTTGTTTTCACTGGGGTCCTTTGTTTCCACTGGGGACCTTCGTATCGACTGGGGACCTTTGTTTCCACTGGGGACCTTCGTTTCCAATGGGGACCTTTGTTTTCACTGGGGTCCTTTGTTTCCACTGCGGACCTTAGTTTCCACTGGGGACATTTGTTTCCACTGGGGACCTTTGCTTCCACTGGGGACATTTGTTTCCACTGGGGACATTTGTTTCCACTGGGGACATTTGTTTCCACTGGGGACCTTTGTTTCCACTGGGGACATTTGTTTCCACTGGGGACATTTGTTTCCACTGGGGACCTTTGCTTCCACTGGGGACATTTGCTTCCACTGGGGACCTTTGCTTCCACTGGGGACCTTTGTTTCCACTGGGGACCTTTGCTTCCACTGGGGACATTTGTTTCCACTGGGGACCTTTGTTTCCACTGGGGACCTTTGTTTCCACTGGGGACCTTTGTTTCCACTGCGGACCTTTGTTTCCACTGGGGACCTTTGTTTCCACTGGGGACCTTTGTTTCCACTGGGGTCTTTTGTTTCCACTGGGGACCTTTGTTTCCACAGGGGACCTTAGTTTCCAATGGGGACCTTAATTTCCAATGGGGACCTTCGTTTCCACTGGGGACCTTCGTTTCCTCTGGGGACCTTTGTTTGCACTGGGGACCTTAGTTTCCAAGGGGGACCTTTGTTTTTACTGGGGACCTTTGTTTCCACTGGGGTCCTTTGTTTCCACTAGGGTCCTTTGTTTCCACTGGGGACCTTTGTTTCCAATGGGGACCTTCGTTTCCACTATGGA